GTTGTGGCATATACTTGCCACGGCAAGTTGTGGGATCTGTGGCATATACTTGCCACAGATACCACATCTGTGGCATATACTTGCCACAGATACCACGGAGTAGCGGCCTCTGTGGCAGATGCCGGAAGTACTTGCCACTGCCCGCAGATGCCACGAAATGCGCTTGCTGTCTCTCAAACATAGTGCGAGGTGGTTGCTATGCAACAACACTAACAGCTAGCGAACATATTAGACAGAGAGCGTTGATCCATTATTTGGCTGTTTATTTACATTCATTTGTATGTTGCAGTTTATTGTGCAGCCACTGAAAAACTATCCAGCATCAGTAGCATGGCTTACGTGGTCACTTGTATAGGTTGAGGTTGTTCTAGGCTGTTGCTTGGCGTGGGGAGAATATTGCTCCACTTTCTCCGGTTCCCGAGATTCGGCTTCCAGTAGCTCTGGAGAGAGCTTTCGCACCTGTGGCCACTAACGGTCATAATTTCTCTGCTTTGTTTCAAGACCCGCATCAGAAAGCTTTTGAATGGTGCTACTTTTCCAGTTGGTCTACCTGCTCTTCACGTAGCTCTGCATGTCGTCGTTAGGTGCTTTTTTTTTCTGGAGATAGGCACTGCTCAATCCACTCCTCCATAGTAAGACCCCCCCGGAGGTCCAAGTTAATCTTAAATGTTTCCATCTTATGCTTTGTAAGTTTGTTTCGTAACGGAAGAAATGCAAATATATTTATAAAACTGACAAGTCAAATCAAGCAATCTGATTGGTCGATAGTGTTTTTACGGACCTCTTTGATTACAGATTTGAAAACATCGTTGCTTGCTTTAAAAGTAGCACAATTCATTATGTCAAACCTCGGAAAGTATTTAGATATCCCTGCCCTAATGCCAAAGGAACTACACACTGAATATGTTTTGCCGTTTGATGTCTATGTCTGGATCGCTGCGTAAAAAGGAGGCTTTCTGCCCCGTTACTTCTCCGCTGCTTTCTTGTTCCAGTATAAAAAGCAAACTGCAGACTGTTTTTCTCAGACGCGGAGGGATACTGACTTGTTGTGAAAAGTAACTTACAATTCTACCCGTGGTATACGCTCAGTATATCACGGCTAAGAACCAATCAGATTGCTTGATTTGACTTGTCCGTTTTATAATGCCTCATAAGTTCAGTTGGAAGACGGAAAAATCAATCCAATGTGTGTAAATTATTCTTTACACTTGAAAATGCTGTTAGAAAAAAAACTGCCTAAATCACAGCTCTCCAGGGTTTCATTTATTTTGTTAGCAGCTCATTCCTTAAAACAGAAGCTTCAGATTCCTTATAATAAGAGGAAATATAAAGGGTATGTTTCAAGGTTGTTATGTACATTTGTTATTGTGCTTTTTTCTTATCAACTTAGATTTCTTAGAACATGTTTTCAACTTGAATTGACTGAATTTATTTTTGAAAAGTGGGTTTATTAACACATGAATACTGTGTAATAAATTTGAACATATATATTTAAGAAGTACAATATAAGACTAAGACAAGCAGATGTTTATTTTATTTAAGTCATTATACATTTTTTATTTGCTGAGGGCCGATTCAAAATGGTCCGCAGGCCGCATTTTGGACACCCCTGGTCTAAATCATCTCAAATGTTTCATGGTATATCATCATGTCTACAATTCCAGAGTATTAGTACAAAAGTGGTTTTCTAGATATGTTTCCATTTAGGTTACTCCCTTCGTACATAATTGTTTCTCTTCAACCACAAAAAAGTGTCAACGTTGAGTGCATGTATCTCAATGCACCACAGTCAAGTTATTGCGGTTAGACACTGCACTTTCTTATCTTTTGCTCTATTTTTCTCCCACCAGTGTGCCAATCGATCGCACTGGCATCATCTTACACAGCTCCACTTACTGTGGTCAGGGAAGTGGAAACAAGCGTCTCAGATGTTACTGTCCTAGAGTTTCTTTATGTGGACGAGAAGATGGAGAAGTAGGAGAGTGGTGAGGGGAGGGGGGGCAATAGCCAGGGGGATCGAACAAATTATAAAGTATGTCAACACAAGCAAACGCGGGATGGCTGAAAAATGGACGAGTAAATAATTTAGCTGGCGGATGAAAGTTGAGAGTGAAGGAGAGACTGAGTGGTGGTCGTGTCGGAGTGTGTCTGAGTGTGTTTGCTGGAGGGAGCAGGTGAAGGACAGATGAGAGAGCCGAGGTGGTAAGTGATGGGCCTTTAACATATATATAAACACACGTTAGATGCATCAGGACAGTTTTCTTCTGCAGTGAGTTTTCCGTCCCTGAGTCACACACAAAAGCGTAAACACACAGATATTCAGCCTTCTTCATACCTTGGAACCTTATAGAGTTGTTGATGAGGTCAAGCACATCAGCAATGGCGTTGTATTCTCCCACCTTCACCTCCCTGCCCTCTGTAACAAAAACAAACACACATTAGAATAAACACGTGTTTTTAAACCGTGCAAACTGCTTCTCTTTTATGCTTTTGACTGGTATTATGCATTCAAAGCCATTACAACTGCCTTTGAAGTCATCCATGTTAAGCCATCAGAGGCAGAGTAGGGTGGGTCATGATTTGCCATAGTAGCAGAGTGTGTATTTCTGGAGAACATTTATTTGGAACATGGTTATTGATGTTTGATATATTGAAATATATATTTGAGATGTTTCCCTTATTACCATATGAGTTATGAAATGTTCCAGGTGGCCTGTTTAATATTGCAACAATAATGCTAAAACATTGTTCACTTATACAAAGAGCAGTTCATCAAATGGCTTTAAATGAACAAGTGAATCTTATTCAAACTCATATTGGACACACAGTAAAGAATAGACCCTATAGAACAGTCTGGCACTTTCTTCAAATAAAGCTTCAAATATCAGGCACATATTCCAAAACCCATTAGTAATATAACAAATTATCCCTAACATAGAATTTTAATGCACTCAGCTAGATTATTTTTTTTTGTAGCTTGAAGATAAAGCTTATTATGGAAGGGAAATGGTATTGTTGTTTTTTTACAGCCTTAATAATCAGTTTATTTTACCTCAAGGACATCTTAAGGGCAATAAAGACTTGAAATCATAGAAAAACAAGCCAACAGATAAAGACATTGGAAAAAGTCAATTGAGCAAGGGTAAACTGGAATTGCACACTATGAGAAAAATGTCCAACTCGTATAGAAGGAAACAATGCATACATGCAATCAGAAGTCTGTATTGATATTGCAATATGTATTGACTTTAGCGTATTTTAGATACAGTCGTGGGATTTTACTCTGCAGTACTCCACATCCTGCAAACCTCACTGTCTCTGTGGAGATCAGATGAAACACAAATATTTCAGGATTTAGTGTTTCCTCTTTAAGAAACAATGATAAGTCCCTCAGGTGGAATATTGAAGGAAGCTTGACCTTGCCAGACACGCCTGGGCCTTCACTCTCCTGTGCTCATAAACATTATTCACAGAGAAGAAGAGGATGGGAAGGGGGACAGAATATTCCTTTTTTGTAACCTCTACAAACAACTAGCAATTTATTCTGGAGTTCACGCACAAATCTATCTCTGCTCCTCTGTGTTATCACGGTTACAGGTCCATTGAACTCCTCAGCAACATTGTCCTTGACGAGGAAAATGACAGATAACATCAGCTATTGCAGCATCACAGGGCACACAGCGTCCCCCTCTCTGTGAATCACTTCAATTCTTGCATCGAAGCATCAGCAAATGTTGGACAGGCTTTACTGTATGTGACAATTGCAGATCTGTAGATTTAATGTGCATACACAATCAGGTGTTTTAAACTTCTCAGTGCTGAGCGAGGATCAATAATCATGTTTCCCTTGACCACGTCCTTTGTTAGGAACTAAGCAGCAGAAGGGATTGTATTTCAGCACTCCTCCTTTGAGATGCTAAAATACTGTTCTGGCACTCTATCCCCACAGGGACTATCGATGGCTGCCGGCCTGCTAAACTCAACTTTTAGCTCTGCCCTTGCAAAGACATTTCATGACTTTTAGACACATTCAATATCTGTAAAGTAACTGGAACTGCATCTGGGACAATTTATAATTTCCTAACATGGCATTCTCCTAACTAAAGGATTTAAGAATAAGGTTAGCTGCATTCTATGTTTTTATTTTACTGCCAGCAGATCTTGTAAAAGGATCAAAATCCTCCCAAATGGATACAGTACGTATTCTTGTTGAAGTGTTGTTTGTCAAAATGTACAATGAACGATTTTAGAAAACATGTTTTTCTGAATATATATTTTTGTGAACCGTGTTTAAAGATCTACATCTTCTATTGGAACAAAATGGCTTGGGGCTGAATGCCACACTCAGGAAGGGAAAGTATTATCTGCTGCAGTCCTTGGATTCTGTTTTTTATTTTTTTTAGGAGATTTCTTGACAGTAAAGAAATACTGTATATAACCAGCCTCTCCCATTATTCTTGTTTTTTTAAATTACTTCATTGCAAGACAGCAGACTAAACCTTTCCAGGAAAACATAAAAATAAAAACGAAAGAATGACAAAACACAATCTGTTGAAATAAATACTACAGCACTATAAAAAAAACTACTCTATCTAGTAATGTATAATAAAGGTTTGATTCCACTGGATTTGAATGAAAGGGATTTAATAATAGCTGGTCATGGTGGAGCAAATTTAAAGGTGACCTATCATGCAAAATGCACTTTTGTACGTCTTTTAAACATGAATATGTGTCCCCGGTGTTCCAGGGAACTCACCAAGTGTCAGAAAACACAACCCTCTCTATTTTCCTCCATACCCAAATCTCTTAAAAAGGGGCTGCAACGGATCTGATACAGACTGATCCAGATTTGAACACTTCTATGACGTCACAAAAGTGGCGCTACGGCTATTGGGCCAACTCCACCAATCAGGAGGAGACAGCCACGGACATTGCCGTTCGAAAGCGCTGGAGACGCTGTAGTACATATGCCAGGCCTGTAGATGGTGCTGTTCTCACAGAATCAGCCCATGCAAAGACAGTGTTAAATTGAGCGAAATGAGGAATGGCTAAAATGCATGATCTGTTTGGTATTTAGAAAAATAAAAAGTATAAATATGCCTTATATAGGTATGTTCCTACACTATATTATTCAAATATAGCATGATAGGTCCACTTTAAATGATGAAAATGAATAGAATTTTTTGCGTGCATGGTAGGTTTTTAAGTCTTATCCTGCAAAGTAAGTGCACCCGGAGCGAATTACAACAAATCACTCTGGAAGGGAGGGGGGTAAAAGTATACAGTAGCGTAAAAATGTAACAACTCAGTTATATACATGTAGCAGAATTTAAGAACACAGTACTGGAGTGAATTGATTTAGCTTTTGCCTTGATAGGTTGTTTTTTGATGCATCTGCTATTTAATAACTGTCTGGAGCGGAGACACATGCTGGTTTAAAAGCTCATATGTCAAGGTTGTGATTCCCAGACCTCATTAATAGTATAACTCTCTAATGCTGAAAGCCAGATATGTTTTATCATCACATTCTGACCCGTCTTTGCAGAAGTGTTTGTAAATGTGATTGAATGCATTTCTTTCCTCTATGCGGCTCACATTAGCTTGTCTTTGATCAAGTTCAAATTATTTTGTTTCATGTCAGATCTGTGAAATTCTAACATGGAAATCATTTGCTGCTTCATTTAAAAGCATTGGTGGTGCAGTTCAATGATATTCTTGGGAGCTATTTCAATTGAAAAGCTGTGAGAAGACTATCGCCTTCAGGGAAACTGACAGCAGAGAGGATGTTGCTATTTGAACTTCCTACAGTAATGAGTAAAAAAAGCTGTATATTAATACTTACTTGAGGGGTGTTGTAGATAGTAAATCCTATCATTTATCTCTAAAGATCCCAACGAATCCTAACCTTTTACGTACACATATCACAACCTCACCTTATTGACAAATATATCATTGAAATTCTCCTCTTTTACAGAACGACAAATGCCATGTTTCCTTATCGACGCGCCTTATGGTGCGTTGATTTAAAATCTGTACTCAGTGGGACTGCGGCTGAGATCAAGGCCTCTGGTAGTGAGTTGTCTCTCATCCCCATGAGAGACAGGGGGAATAAAGAGCCAAGGAGGCCCTGACTAAGAACGCCTGACAGGGTGAAATGGAGGATCAGAGGCTGAGGACAGATGATAGGGTCATGTTGAGGATCACTGCCTTTTGAAATATTCTAGCTTGGGCTGTCCCTGCTCTCCTCTCCATCCAGCTCAGGCTCGAAGATTGACAAATTCCCCATACCTGACAAGTGAGGAAGAAGTGATGAAGTTAAGGAGGGGTGGAGCTTGATAGTGAGCGATAGCTGTCACAAGGGGGAGGATTTAGTTGGGGAAAACGTTGGTGATGGAGTGAAGAGAGAGACCGGGAGCAGAGAAAGAGAAACTAAAGATTGAAAGACTTAAGTGTGTCTAATAAATTAGTAAATTAAAGTGTGGCTATGATTCAATCTCTTAAAATCAAGCCCTAACACACATTTTAATCATGGTAACATTTCCTCCTTGCTTATCCAAAGCGGCCAGACCCTAATTTAGACTAAACTCTCACTGTGTCTTTCTCTCACACAAGCACACTCCTCCTGCTGTTTTGTTTCATTACTACGGGTGACTTACAGGTAAACAAAGCAGGGTCATGCTCCTGTGTCAGTCGGACTCGATGTATTTCAGATGGCAGCTCAATCCATCTTTCTGCAGCTGTGTCTCAGTTCAATAGCACATGAGCAGGTTTTCCATCTCAAGCGTGTATCACAATATTTCACGAAATCACAAAGAAAACTTTGGATGATTGATTTTTTGAGCTGCTGCATATACTTGTCCAATTACGCATTTCAAAACGGAAGAGAAGTGCTACTCACAGCTGTGAAAAAAAAAAAAATGTAATAGTGGTTGTGCTTGAGGGGATGACTTTAAAAAATAAAAAGTTGAGCAGTCTTTGGAAGACTGTTTCTTATGAAGTTTAATTGATTCTGTTCTTCCACTAACAGTTTAATTAATGTCAGTTCTGTTGTTGCAAGGCACTGATAACTTGTTTATTTACAGCAAAAACAGGATGATTAATGGTATAAATGTGCAGTGTGTACAATTGCTAACTCATATGGAAGTGGAACACAGTGTCTGTCTCACTCACCACCCACTACCCTGATGGTTCAATTCTGTTTGTGTAACTTCTCGTCTTCCCTATACTATGCAACAATACAAACTCCTACTTTCGCACTACCGAATTATTCATACATTTTATTCATTATGTCTTCTGTTGAACACACAATATTTAAATGACTATAAATATGTGGTTTCCTTTTTAGTCTCACCCAATGAGCCTGGGCTGTAACAGCATTAGCATACACGCACAGTGACATACAAGCCTTTCTATAAGCACTTTACTGCCCTCTATCTCTCACACACACACACGCACGCACGCACGCACGCACGCACGCACGCACGCACACACACACACACACACACACACACACACAGTGTGATATATGCAGCCAGGGGGATGGAGTCCCTCTGCAGTGGAGGAGATAAGATGGGAAGTCAGAAAGTAGCGTACGGCTTCATGCAGTGGCTACATACAGTCGGGGGAGCCTGGGAGCTGGGAAACCCCCGCATAAAGATTCAATCTCTGGGTTTTTTTCCCCACTTAGCAACGCATGCTGGCTCAAAACCAACCTCAGGGTAATGCTGTGAGGACAGAGAGTACTGACGCATGTTTTTATTTACAAACCTTCACAGTCCACACAGATATATCCCGTCACCACAGAGGAGATCAAGCACAGTGAAGCGCCATGGGCCTTGCACTTTTAGATTCACCCAACATGCACCCACACAGATACAGAGAACACATGCAACTCCATAGAGAAGATATGCAACTCCATGGAGATGCTTGTGGAGATTGTCCTCACTAAAGCTACAGTCTAAAATGTTTTATGTTTACTGACAAACAACCCTTGCAGTCATGCGAAATAACCCTCTCCAGAAAAACAACTAATGAGATAAATGTGAGGCTTCCCACTTCAAATCATTTAGCCTCCCTTGCCCTGTGTAAACTGTATGATTTTGCTGCAAGCTTTTCATACACCCTATTGGTCAGGATCCAGTGTATCAACCGTGGCAGCCTTTTGGTTTCAGAAAACTTGCAAGTGTCTTTCCTTTTTACAAGCTGGGATACTCCTACAAAATGTCTTAAACAATTAAAGGTTTTATTGAAAAGAAAAAAATTCAAAAGATTCAAACTAACTGTAGCACTTATCTTACTCCAGTGTGGAGTCACATGAAGAGCAAGTGGGAACATCTGGAGGTGTGACAGATATCAATATGAGAAAATACACAGGAGTTCTAAAATGACTGTGTAACCTGAAGAGAAAATCGAGACAGGTTCATTTGAGGAGTGTCAGACATACCTTGAAACTGGTTGAATTTGATTGTGCCCATTCTCTCTCCGTTCCGAAACATGACTTGGCCCTAAAAAGGAAGAAATATATAAATGATATATACCTTCAATAAAACATAGAACACTGTAAACACATATAGTGAACACATTTTAAGTTAGAAAAACATTCTGTCATGATGAAGAAGATGAAGCGTGAGATTAGTTAATAAATGTAAATGTATGCCCAGTGAATTCATGATGCTAGAGTGTTAGCAGGCGAAGAGCAGTCCTGGCTCCCACACAAACAGCATGTCATTTGATTAGAAGTGGTCAAATTGACCTGTTTATATAGAGGTAAACAAAATCATCTCCGGGCCCATTCATTTGCTAAAATCTTTGGAACAACATCAGGTCAGCAAGGCTGCCTTCACCGTGTTTGCTCACATAGGAAAAGGTAGGAATCTTGGCAGTGCAGTGAAATTAGCTACATGTAAGATCTTATTCTCCATTTTGATTTCTCAATATTCATTGCTGGCCATAAAAGCATTTGCCGGTCAAACAACAGCCCTAAAACAATACCAATTCAAGTCTTTGATTCAAATTCCACAGACACAAGAGAAGCAATCCCAAGCCAGACGGCGCCTGGCGAACACAGACAAGGTAGACAAAAGCAATTCAACTTTGTGGCAATATCGAAAGACATATTCAAATCAATTTGGCTTCAGTCCCCTTATCTATCCCATGTCTGCTCAGTCTTTCTCTCCTTTGTCATATTTTCTCCTTCCCTCTGTCTCTGTATCTCTCTGTCTCCCTATTCATCTACCAAGACTGTTCAATTAATTCAGCCCACCATCTGCTTACAGGGCTCCTTAATTACACATTTAACTGGGTTTACATATTACTGCCTGCCTAACAAAACAGGTGAGAGCAGAGAGGAAGACAAGCAGGCAGCCAGACAGTTAACAGTTAGATAGGAAGACAGATGGACAGATAGATAGGTAGACATTTAGATAGACAGAGAGCGACAGAGAGGGAGAGCATTTGCTTTGGCTGATTAAAAGACAGCTGAGAGGGGAATATGTGGAAGGAAGCTGGAGAGCCAATTTTTCCTCAAAAAGATGGCAAGCTTTGAAGTAGCAGAGCACGATCCCACCCCTCCGTTTGAATCCCAGTCTTTGTGTGGCGTCTTTGATGTTTTGTCAGAGTGTGCGCGTGCAAGCATGTTAATGTGTACGCACTTAATAGGTTGTCACATTTTGCTCATGTAAGTGCATGTGTCCCTGATGATGTATGTGTGTGCTACTCCTGAGACCCAGGTTCTCTAGTGATGCCTTTACCCTGGTGATGGACCACGATACTCTGCTCACAGCGTAACCCAACGTGCCAGTCTTAGACACATACTGCCTTTTCCCTCAGCAAGCTATGCAGTTATATCTGTATTGTAAGTAGGAAAGTGCACCTTGGTTCAGCTCATTATATCGATGTCATTCTTAATAACTGTGGTGTTTAAACAGGTTCAGACAATGTGGGTTTTAAAATAGAGGAACTTGACTTGAACCCGTAATGACTGTAAATGTATGTATCTAGGTTTCTAGAGTAGCTGCACTATCATGCTTTTCTGTGCAATAACATTGCCACTGTAATTGCCTTTCACATCAGCAAAAGTGAAGCTATTTTAAACAGCGCCCAATTTGTTCTCTCTGGTCCAGACAAGGTTTAGAGAATATGCAAAGTATATCAAACATATGCAGAGGCATTGCCTTTGACATTGTTAATTGGAAATAAATGTCTGTGATACAAAGACTAAATTAACCTCCTTTGACCAATATTCAGAGAACCTACTGTAAGGCCTCTTTTCACAAGGTATTATGCTCCTCTGCAGCTAAGGCAACCTCACTGGAGTCTATTGGCCCAGACAGACACTATAGTTTGTTGTCTGGTATTCAACTGAGGTTCAGACCTGAATCACAATGGTGGCTGATGGAGCAATCGTTCAGTCTAACACTGTCTGTGTGTGTGAATGTGTGTTTCTGAGGAGAGACTGTGGAGGTGGCCAGGTATCACTCTGTCTGTGGAAGATGGAGTGCTGTCAGTGACAGCTGTGCTGGGGTCAAATGAGATGTCAGTCTGCGGGCTGCAGGTGTGACATCCTGCAGGCTTTAAGGGTTTAAAGTGGGAACACAGTTGAAGTGAATGTACCTGTGATGCACACATAAACACAGATAAACAGAGAAAAACACACTATTTTTTACCTCAGACTGAGGTTGTGCTACCATTACCAAGACAGACATTGATACATACTTGATGGCCACTGACCTTAGATTTCTTTTACAGCAAAAAAAAACATATACCCACACAGTTGTCACCTCAAATCACAACGTGCTGTCTTCCCATGCAGCCCTCCCTGGTGAATTCTAACATGCATCATCCTGTGCTAGCAGCCATCTGCACTCTCTTTGCCCTGAAAGTCTCTCTCAGCTAACGTCAGCCTTCTTCTCTGCAGCCCTGACAGCAGCCAGATCAATAAAGTGGAGCCCTCCGTGATCACTCTCCTGCTGCTGCAGCTGCCTCTTGGCACAGATATAGCAGCAGGACTGAGATCAGCGTAGAATGGACACGGTTCGGTCCCCTGAGACCGTGTGTTTACACAGAAAACACACTGCGTGAAATCGTGACATCAGGAAAGACACAAGGTTCAAGTCAGGGTACAATCCTGTATGATCAAGCACACATGCACTGATAACATTTAAACCAAGGGTAACAAGCCGGAATATTCCATTTTACTGGTGCTTGCACATGGCTGCATTTGAATGGAAACCCAGTAAAATTGCAATTCACGAATAAATCTTGCAAGTTGTGCAGTAGCTGCTTTTGAAATCTGAATACAAAAAGAGCATAAAGATGTAAGTAGTGTGGAAGGGAAATTGCCTTCCTATGTCTTTGTTCGTTGTCCGTGGGTGGAGATGTCTATGTGCTAAGTGTGAGCTACATAAAGGGAACACTTTTGATCTGATTTCAGTTAATTCCTCAAAAGAACAGCTATAATAGTCAACAGATTGTCAATGTTTTGTTGCAAAAACGCTTCTAACTATTTTGCAACGCAGCTATCTTTAAACAGCTTAATTGTCAACCAGATGCACAATATTCTTGTTCAGATTTCTTTCATCCCAAAATGTCATCATAAAGAGAATCAGCATAATAAGAGCGTGCAGATTTACATCATATCCATTTCCCATTACTTTTATATTTGTAGGTAAAACTTAACAATCAAACAGCAGAATCACTCAATTCTAAAAATCTACCACTTGTAGGTTGTCAACTTGTCATGTAGGTTATCATCTAATCATTCACACCCTAGCATCCCCAAGTGGTCATTGTTGTTAATTTGTCAGAGCTATTAACAACACAGAACACAGTGCACTTGTCTCCTAACATTCTCTTGTAGCTTCCTATGAACAAGAAGATCAATCTACTTATATACAGTATATCATTAGCAAAACAGCTCTGCTAGCAGCCTGGCTTTGAGAATCCACCATAAGAATCCCAAAGCGCCAGAAACCCTGATCTTAATGCTATGATAAAGGGCAAGAGTAAAACACCCAATGGCATTAGATAGATCGGAAGGTTTTGTAAATTACTGATCTATTCTAGAAAGAATGATTTTTAAAACTTTGCCCTTTCCCTGTCACATTTTTTCAGGTAGAGTTTCTAAGCTTATTCCACTACCTTGGGATAGCTACTGTAAGCCATTTTGTTTAGTTTTGTCCAAACAAAGTGCTCTGGTAAGCAGTGATGCTATGTATGGTTAATGTACGGTCTCTGAGACGGACAGAATGGCGTAGTGAAAGCAAGGCTAATAGGGAAGCAATCTGCTGTCACTATTCTATATCTATTACACAGTGCAAACACCACTTACCTCGTAATGACTGTCTATTACTTCTATACGTGCAATGTAAGGCAACCAAGGCAACGTACAAACACCTCACTTAACTACTTACTTTTTTATAAAATGTTCTACTATAACTCCGTTGCGTTCAGAACTGTTACAGGATGTGTATTTTTTTTTTGTTATGTAACTTTTTACTTTTTATTATATATTTGTTTTTATTATATCATAACTTAGTACTTTTTTTTAAAATGCATGTCACATATTTAACATATGTAACATTAAGCTGTCTGTGGCTCTTTTTACTGCTGTAACACATTTCCCCTCCGTGGGACTAATAAAGGGATTCTGATATTCTTAAAAGGGCTTTTCTTTATAACGAACGCTTTACCTTTTGATTTGAGTGTTTTTTCTATTTCTTCTTAAAAATCTGAGTGCAGGGTTATTATAGTACTTAGGTCAATACAGTCAATATTGAAAGGGAGAGAAGGAGTTTGCTAGCCTGTTCAAACAACCGAACCTGACCTATCCAGACTTCATAATCTTTGTGGGTGCCTTGAGAGAAACGTGAGTGAAATGCTACATGGCCATCAATATTCCTGAACTGCTTTGCTTCCCCGAGTCTCTGAGGAAAGACTCAATGTCAACCTTCTCCTGATCAGCAACCCCGAGTGGGTCTGTGTTGAGAGAGGTGAGAGTAGAAGGGGGGGGGGCAATGCTGACCCTGAGGATCTGGTGTGCTGCAACACGTATAAAGTTCCCCCGGGACATTAGCCCCATAGGACCTCACAATAACACCGGCATGCACTGATTTTCACCAAGGCCTTCTTTCTCTTCCTCTTTCCCTCTCTCGTTCTATTGCTTAAAGTAATGCATTGGAATCTGTATTTCTATCCTTATTAACTTTATCCATTTCTCTCTCGCCTTCCAACTTAGCGTTAGTCTATGATTCATCCAAATAGTTTTTTTCTGAATATTTATTGAACGCTATTTTCCAGAACAGTCAATCTTTTTCTCATTTCTACTTACTTGAATTTTTCAGGCCATTTTTTGGTAAACACAGTAATGAATATTATATCACAATAGGAGGAATGTACTGCTTTACTGCATGCCTACTGGCTGTCTGGGCTAAGAGCAGCATGGTGCCCTCAATAATGTAGTGGCCTTTACAGGGGAACAGGAGATATCCTCTAACAGCTCAATAGGAAGTCAGAGTGAGCGCACCCACACACACACGCCCACACACAGCTTGTACTGTAGCTAGCATAGCCACGAGGATCAATCATGAAAGCATTGGAGTGAGTCGGCAGCACCAAATGACACCACTTTAGGCTTCTTACTAAGACGAGGAAGGCTAAGTAACCTTCTCTGCAAACACACTTCCACCATTACAGATCAGTAATTATTGTCCTTGTGTGTTCTTCTGACATTTGCCTACTCCATACTGTGTTGTATAATAGAAAAAATAATAGCGTATTGGCATACACAGACTCTTTCCCCAAAAAATGAGGCTAAACTAACATTTCTTAAAGTTTTTTGACTGCTTGGTTTTAAACAATGTTTGTATCTGCATATTTATATGTGATTGTTCGTCTACCTCGTTGTATGTCACAAACAACACAAAATCCTTGTGTTCCAAATGTCCACAAGTTGGACTGTGCCTTATTTATATTTAGTTTCATGTCAATATGATGCATAACCTACCGTGACACCAAAGAAGTTGGTCTCGTTCATGACTTCCAGCACCATTTTCCCCACTTCGCGATCATCCACAGTGAAGTTGTGGAAGGTGTTCTGACGCTGTTTTACCCGGAGCAGTTCCATCACTCGAGTTAAAGTTTTAGCGATGACCCAGATCCCATCGTAGGCAAAGCCGTGGAACTTGCTGGACTCCACACCTTTCTGCTGAAGCTCCCGGCTGTACTCCCTCTCATACTCCTTCGGGGTCTGACCGAGAGGCAAGAAAAGAGAGCAGATAAAAAAGAGAAAGTGAGAATCTCCAAACTTCTTAAATATTTTCTTTTTCCTTAGAATAATTAATCTCACATTTTTCAAATGTACTTTTTTTTATTGTAACTTTTCTGTAAAGTAGAAGAGATTATTTCAAAGCAATTTCAGATGCAAAGTTGATGAAAACAGTTTTAGCTCAATAAACAAAAATGTATTGAATTGACTTTCTACAAAACCAAACATTTTTCCGATTTCACTTTATTAACCTCAGGCTGCTTATTGTACACATTCATTCTGGCAACCACCCAGTTTTTCGGAAATAACCTCAAAATCAAGGTTTGTTGTGGTGAGATATTCGCCTGATAAAATGTTTTACACTAAATGTGTCTCTAAACAGATTGAATAATGCGTCATTACAACAACATTCTGCTGAATAACATCAGGTAGCACTCACTCTGCCTGAGATGCCCTTTATCTGGCGAGCGCTGAGCGGCTCAAAGTCCACACTGATGTATCCCTCCATGGCTGTGAGCAGCTTCTTGGTGGTGCAGTTGGTGCTGTTGGCCTGCTCCCACCAGTTGCCCTGGTACCAGCCGGGGATAATCCACTGGTATTTACTGCCAAACATGTTGAGGTTATATGCCTGGCAAGGGGTAGGAAAAAAATGGGGTTGAGACAATGTAATGTTAGCTGCTGGCTGTGTAAAACTAGGGATAACTGAGAGTTTAGGTCTAGTGCAACGCTTGAAGAATACTGAACTCATGGGTTTAGCAATAAGCGTAAAAAATTGCATAGCATTCTTGTTGTAACTTGGCAAGAAAATGATTGTGTAAAATATATATCTGTAAGCTATCACTTATAAGGCTGAAGACTTACGCAGCAGAAGACTTTGGAGGCCAGATTCTCGTCAAACTGGCCAATGATGATTCTCACATCGTTGTCCTGGGGGAAAAAAGAATGAAACATCATGATTCATTATAAACACACATGCTCACAACATGTTACATTAAATATGAGTTACCGCGGCAGGGCAAGCCGTTTTATGTGATACAGTAGGTGTCACCATACAGTATTTTTGTGATAGGTTGTTTTGATAAGTTTCCTTGTTTGTGATGCCTTTTTTCAGCACTCTGGGACATCACTCTTTACAAATGGAAATATAATCAGTTGTGTGCGTTTGTGTACTGTATTTTCTTCCCTAAGTCTATCTCATCAGTAGCTACACAGTCTGGGTGGCTGAGAGGCTAAAGCAATATCAAGTCGCAAAGTATCAATCCATAACAACAAAGACATTAGTGTCAGCGGGCAGAACTGCCTTCAATGCCAACCGGGCTCAAGAGCACACATTTACATAGAGATTCAGAGCACAAGGCCCAGTGAGTGACTCTGTAAATAATTCAGAGTGCAGCATGGTGGGAAAAAAGATCAGGCTCCGGGGCCAACGGTCTGTTATTTAGTGTGCACACGCTTATGTATAAAACTTTAGAAACACAAGCACAGGCCTGCAGACACACATGGATAACACACACAATACTTTATTGCCCCAAATCAAATCCAATACCACTGACAGAGTTATGATGAATATATGTCTGGTCAACATGGCTGGAGGTAGTGATGCATGGGGAAAAGTCGAACATACTGTAGGGCCCTTACCTAACCCTGACAGTCCAGACAATAAATGGAGAAGGTCACTGAGCAATATGAAGGAAATCTAAAGGGCTGAAGCTGTCAATGTATTTGATTAATTATGTTTTTTCTTCACCAACAGTTGTTTCTAGGGAAGCATACCTAATATTAAGTGTGTTTTCTATGTTGTGTTTTTTTTAGAGCTACATGCAGTTTTTTTAAATGTTTGGTTCTGTCTTTTATTGATCAGGAAACTGCTATACCTTACCTAACAACACTGAAACTGTAAGAGCAGGGGCTTTTTACATTTCAATTACATAGGCAGCTTTAGAAAATACAAAACAAGTGACAAACACACAAGCTCTAATGTCAGTGAACCCACTAGTTTCCTGCCTTTATTCTTGATAATGAGAAACTGTTACGAATACAGTTCATGAAGTCCTCTTCCCCCAGGCAGCCTTACCATATGTCATGTATCCACAGATCAGAGTAAGCAACCAATCACTGTCAAATAACCATAATCCTAACCCTAAACTCCAATTGCTCAAGGCAATTAGACATCAAGGAGCTACTGTACCGCACAGCCAATACATTTCATATAGTGGATAGATGTATGGAAATTAGATAGATTCAAATTAGTTGGAAAGTTGATAGATACATGGATAATATCTTGCCTATCTATCCACTATATGGATAATATGAGGAAAATATGTTGCAAATTGACTTTGTCATGACAAAGACAAAGGATATACTGTGTGTCCCTCCTATCCGTCTTTATATTGAGTTGCCAATGCAATATCTGTCCTGACATTTTACATAAGATCTAAGATTATTTCTATCACAAAATTATCTGTATATGTTCTCTAAATATTAAAGAGGTTGAGAGTTTTCAGAAAGCCGAGTAGCCAAATCAAAAGCTTCTTTGATGGTTTCTCATCACAGCCAGACAGCATGCTGGGAAATGTAAGTGGCCTTTTGTATGAAACGCTTATTGTTGTTCCCCTTCTCTGGCACCATCACAATAGATGTGCCAGGAGGACAGGTAACAACTCTGAACTTTTCTGGGGTGCACTCTTGCGTTATTCCATTTATTGTATCACTATTGTGTGTGTGTGTGTGTGTGTGTGTGTGTGTGTGTGTGTGTGTGTGTGTGTGTGTGTGTGTGTGTGTGTGTGTGTGTGTGTGTGTGTGTGTGTGTGTGTGTGTGTGGCCGTTTGCCATTTGTGTGATCACTAGTTGAGCATTGAATGTTCTACATAATATTATGATTACTAATATTGCATTATTATTTGAACTGTAATTATCAGGCCTTCAGAATAAAAGTCTGTGTGCTCTGAGTCCACAGTGCGAGACTCTTGCTGGAACTTGGTGCTATTTGGGGATTTGGACAAGCAGAGGTGCTTTATCAGTTGGAAAGGAGCAGCAGATTACAGGAAGCGCAGCCGCTGATGATATTATCAATAGCAAACCATATTAAATGGACAAACCTATAATGATAATATCAGTGCAAACCATTTGTCTTGAGCCAATCCTCTGTGTTTTGAAACCAAAAAAACAATGTAGAATCATTTGTTATCAAATAAATGTTTTGGGTACAACTGGGATTCTAGTATTCTACAATATAATCACAGCCAAAGTATGGCAGCTATAGCACAGGCTTTAGGGCTTGTAGCTGTGGGTGCCACACATACATTCACAACCCAAGAGAAACACTGAAATCTACTTATCAACACATGAAATAGAAGGCTATACATGTTTGGATGGCCCTTTGTCATTCAAAAGTAGCTGCATCAGTAAGGCAGAAATGTTTTAAAAGAAATGGACCATCCCCTTCTACGTCATATCTGAATGGCAAGAGTTTTGAATGCATGATAAATAATTAAACCATAATAAATAATTAAGTGTTTTGGACCTAATTTAGATTTCAGGCCATTTTATCTCATGTGGCCCTCCATTGAATGCAAGCGACCTGAATTGTCTTTCAGTCACAAAAACTTTAAAAAACACCGGTCTACACTGTATAACATTTCAGCTTATTTTATGTTTAATTTGAAGATGTTAAGCATGATTATATGTAAGTGATTGTTGGAGTTTGTGTGTGAGAGAGTGGGGTGTTTGTAAGCCTGCCTTTGTTTAGGGATGTGTTTTGTCAGTCTGTCCAGTAACAAACAGGGAACTCGGGACAGAGAACAAGAGATGAGGTTAAATAAAGGCAGGAAGCGATAGTGAGATGTAGAAGGCTGCTTCAGCGCCATGCCTGTCTGCTTTTTGAATATTCCAGCTGGATCGCAGCTGTAAGTGCTCTATTTGTGGATCCCACATGGCCCCCTTAATCCCAACACAGTCGCAGATACACAATGACACATAACAGTGCACTACAAAAAAAAAAAGCTTTCACAATAAAATCTGTGTCACCCTCTACCTCGTCATATTAAGTGGTTGTCGGGGGGACGGCAAACTGCTGTTTCGAGATGAGCGGACTCAGACCATTAGGGTGTCCGAGGACCCCCCCATCAAAACGCTCTGAAAAGCTTTCGAGGCGACACCGTGTTTTGCATATTTAGAGTTGATCAAGGAAGGATGGTGTCAGCTTACAATATCAGCCCTCAACTTGGAGGGTTACACATATATTTAAGAAAAGACAGCTTATCTACCTGTTCCTTCTCTATCCCTCTGTCTCATCATGACATGTGTTCAACCTGCTCCATGACACATACAGTACGTCATATCTTCCACTCATATATCAGACCTTTTCTTTATTCCTTCTGCTTTTATAACATCTGACAGTTTCTATTTTACTGGTTGAGCTCACCAGGCACATGGTCATGTATTTGATTTACTTCCACTGACAATGTTTATACTGTAAACCTATGTGGCACTGACTCACTGTGCTTACACAACAGAGGCCAGAAGCATCTCTGGTTGCCTTTAGAGATATTTTGGATACATTTGCCATCACACTTGACTGCATTTACATCTGAATTTCATGCATTTTTTGCTTCATTAAAGCAATCCTGTTCAACCATGCGTGTTAAACCCAGAAGTAAATGGTGTAAAGATTCAAAAGGCAACATCTCAATATTGGCCCAATGATGGTGATATATATTTTTCATTTTCTTTACATTTTACAGCAGAGAAGACGAGGAAAAAGAGATGGAGAGGGGGAAAACAAATCGAGATATTCAGCTTAAGATGCCAATAAACCATCCATTGGTCAGAACAGATTCATTAGAGCTCACGCTACCCAACGCTACTCAAATAAAAATACCAAAAGAATTGGATCAAATTGAGTCATTTGCTGTATTTGAGAATTACTATCATTGAATCATTCCACCTTTTCATTTAGTCTGAATTGTGCGGCTCCCAGGCTGGATGGCTTACCTTGAGCTTCTTGACATTGACACATGGGTCGTTGGAGAAACTCTCCGTATCTGCAATCTGGATGTCTGCTTTCTCCAGCTCACTTGTTAGATCATTTCTCACCTAAAAGAGAAGGAGAGTGGAGAGAGAGAGAGGGAGAGAAAGAAAGAGAAAGCACATGAGCATGATGTATAAATGACTATGTACCATTTTCCTTGGTCTGTTCTTAATTCAACTCAATAACCTTGAAATGTAAGGAGAGATTTTTGTTAAAACACACATGTTCAAATTCATTAATTAAACCAAGCTATTGTACTGCTGTCAGTTAACCATACACTCCTTAATAATAATACTTCCAGTTTTCAGATATTACACTTTTAAACAATAAAGAATAAACAGTATTTCAGCAATACAGATGTTGCAGGCTCTCATGTTCTGAGCTGTTGTCTGCATGATGTTCTGTAAATAGTAAAACATGTGTCTTCTTGGCGTGAGAGCATGTCAGAAACATATCGGCTTTTGAGACATCAAAACCGTCAATATCCTGATTTCAGCTCACTCTGTTAAATGTCGAGTTCTAACATTCACAATATCCGATATACACCTGTCTCTGTGATGTGCATTTGTTTTTTTGTTTTTCAGAGTGACAAAGACTACAGAGTTGCTTTTAATGATCTCAACTGCTTATTCAAATATTGACCAAACAGCAGACATTTGTGCAATAGTGTACATGCATCTGCAGGAGCTGTATGTCTGCTCTGATGTATCGATTCAGCAGAATGGTGGGTAATGGGATCAGGGAAGACAGAGGATGGAGTGGGAACACCGCTGTGATGGCGAGCTTGAGGTGGTTTATCATTCTGCATCTCTCCTCTTGACCCTCACACACACACACACACACGCACGCACGCACGCACGCACGCACGCACGCACGCACGCACGCACACACACACACACACACACACACCTACCTTCCAATTACACACACACACACACACACACACACACACACACACACACACACACACACACACACACACACACACACACTATGATTCATCCCTCTGGCTTCCTATTTCAAGGATACCATTTCAGAAACTGTCTTTTTTACCCGCATACATTTTAAGCAGGAAAAGCACAGGTGTAACTAATAATATTAATGATGGTTCTGTTCCAGGTCTTCCAGTCAGGCAGTGAGAGAGAATGCACAGTATAAAGGCTCTGGCATGGGAGCATCTGACTGAAATTCTGCTATTATTTTTATGTTACAGCTGTGTCAACATGTCTGCTGTAAAGAAGACCCACAGTTTGCATATTGGGGTTTACAGGGAACATCTCATTCTTTCTCTCTGGCCAAATTATTCTGATGTCCTCCGGCCATGCCCCGAAGCCATCGGCCTCTCCGCCCCCGCCTGAAGGCTTGGCATAAGGGGTCATGTTGAGACATCAGAGCTCATATGGGTGTGCCAAGCCCGGCTGGCAGAGACAATATGCAACAGCTAACAGATGAAGACCCTGTGTTTTTACCCTACATTCGTCCGAAACTGTGCATATGTGCCATAGGTTGTATGCATATTCATGTGTTCTACATTGCTACGAGTGCAAACTGGGGACTGCCTTGGTAATGAATGGAATGTAAACACACATTCCTTGAGTGATACAGATTTATGTTACTTCCAGTGCAGTTTTATCAATTAATTGTATTGTATGTAATTTATATGGTGACCAACATCCAGACTTGCAACATTTGTATAGATTTGTGGGAAATATGTGGAATAATACTGAATAAGTATACTATAAGTTGATTATTCTCAGGGAGTAGTTTAAACGTTGCTATGGACATTTTTAGACTGTGTTGTTCTGTTAATGTTTAGGTATATTGATATTCATTTTAAATACAATCCTTGTTTACTGTAATTGAAGATATTTAAGCTTCCATCTTTTAAGCCTATAGGTAAAGTGTTTCATATTCAAAAGATAGATATCAGGTGGAGAACCACTTAACAAACAGAATACCAAAGTGTGAGGATATTTACAAAAGGTAGTATCGGTTAGCTGGAAGCATCTTCAATCATTTCAACATCACAGCTGTTTCTTTTGCTACTGCTGTTACATTATACATATACATACTTTGTGTAATCAACTAGAAGTTAGCTGCCTGGTAAAAATCAATGTAACTAAACAACACAACTTTATTTCCCCTATGTCTCGAAATGTCTGTTGTCACAATGGCCCTGTCCCTTGGTACCCTGGAGGGAGCTCTCAATCACTCTGTTCATCACTCAGTCCTGTACAAACATTCCCTCAATGTACTGCTCGCTGAGCTGAAACAACAGGGAGGCCGGGGTGGATCAATACAACCAGGTTTTGCTCTTCAGGAACAATTGGTGTGGTGGTCTGGACAAGGTACAAAGTCCTGTTGTGTAGAGCGTTGATCTAAAGCTTGGCTGCTTCCATGCTAAGTGGAAACGAGAGGCAAGAGAGGCATTGCAGCAGGTGAGTTTGGTGTTGGAGGAGGAGCGTTGGACCGAGCACGCAACTGGGTGGAATAAAATACTGCCATCACATACAAACAAACATATATATACATTTTCACTATACTGTATCTGTAAAGCGTCTTTGAGCACCTGTAAAAGCGCTAACAAAATTAATCTATTATTATTATATTATTATTATATACAGTACAACAGCACACAGTAAGCCATTCGCCTCTTAGAGAAAAAGCCCTCGTCACAAGAGGATATTTATTGGTTCGACTTTGCATTTTCTTCCACTGAGATGTAAGATGCATCCATATTTTGGTGGACTGAGTGTGTTAAATAGAGCGAGGGGTGGAGGGACGGATGGATTGAGGTGAAGAAGGAGGGGAAAAAAAGTTAGCAGCTTTTTCCCCCATAACAAAAACATCCTCTATTGTCTGAGCGGCCGGGGAATCCCCAGCAGCAAATACAGCAGAGAAATAATCCTACTGCTCTGCTGGCCACGAGTGCACATGTAACACACGTCATTATGTAAGTACACACCCACACATGATGGACAAAAATGACAAAAAATGTCAGATGCATACGTATGATTTCTAGAATGCATCTGTTCCTATGAAGAACTTTAATAAAATGTGATCGTGTTTAAATGCAGAATCTTTTTTTCTGCATATGAGCACAGTTACACACAAGCAAAAATGAAGATGAATTGGGACCCTGGAGTTGAGGGATGCCCCCGTGACTATTTGGGGCGTAAACGACAGAATGAAGTATTATCCCACATCTTCGCTGCCCGTGGATACAGTCTTCCTTTCCACTGACCGTGACAAAGAAGCATGACTACATTCATTGTATAGGGAAAGTAAAAGCAGCGTCATCAGTTCCTTGGTTGTTATTAATATGCATTGGTAGTACAGCAGTGCTTGTGTCATCATTATACAGTTTGATAGGTCATCAAATATTCCCTCTAACCCTAATTGCATATTTTGGAGGGATGCAACTAAGCATTATTTTCATTTTTAATCCATCAATCCTATGATTAGTTTCCCAAATAATTGTTAAATTATAGAAAGTGCGTGTTAAAATGTTATAAAATGGCATGATTTGTTTCTAGAATAGTCAAAGAGATTTTTTGTTTTTTGCTTGACAAAGGATGTAAACATATGATTACCTTTTAAATAGTTGTTAATAACTATTCTGTAGATTGACAAATTTGATCTGCTATAAAACAGACACACACACACACACACACACACAGACAGACAGACAGACAGACAGACAGACGCACGCACGCACGCACGCACGCACGCACGCACGCACACCCACACACACACACACACACACACACACACGTGAACGGAGTGCCCTGTTGCAGAGTCAGTGAGTAGCTTGTGATGATTCAGACGGTGCCAGCATGACACTTTGAGGCAAACAGGCTGCGGTGGTTTAACCTCCGATCATTAACACATCATTAGGCATGCCCACAGAACAAAGGGGACTTTGTGTGGCTGAGTGTGTGTGTGTGTGTGTGTGTGTGTGTGTGTGTGTGTGTGTGTGTGTGTGTGTGTGTGTGTGTGTGTGTGTGTGTGTTTGTTAGTGTCGTACATGATAGAGTGTTTGCAGGTGCTTCTCAGTAGACTGTAGTACCTTTTCAAAACATGTAAAAAAAGTCAAAACCGAGGATGTAACGCTGCAATGTCATGCAATTTACAAAAGAGGCAGTGTGATGGGTCTTGCACACATCTGTCCCTCAAAAAGTGTGTGCCACATCCACGTTTAAATCTCGATGTAAATCCCAGAGTTCAGGCTGTAATGCCAGTCATGTGCTTACATAAACTAGCGTGACAAACGGTTGTACCACAGCCTGATGACAAGCTCTTGAATGGCTTCCTCTCATGGCCTTACATGCCCTGTACAATGGCATGAATGAGTCACTCTGCAGGGGAATGTATGACATTGCCTGCTTATTTGTAGTAAACAGCAGCTGATGGCTAAAGAAATGTACGTGTAAAATGCACCATCTAGGACAAACACATTTTCACTTTGTTAGCAAGATTGCTGTGATAGTAACTTCTTCTAAATCCATCGTTAAGCATGGTGTGATTAAACAGTTTTGCTTAGAGCAATCCAGGCAGAGTCCTAATCTTGTTCTCTGTCATGACTGCTCTGTTCCCGATGAGCCCTGTTTGTCTGGCAATCTCAATAATGTTGATTGCTGTGTGTGTGTGGGTGTGTGTACAGACACACTGGCAAACACCTTACAGATATTTATTCTCATCTCTCAATGTAATAAACCAAACCCCCCAAAACATGTCCCTCCTAAAATAGGATGTGTTGGTGTGTTCAATTGCTCCTAAAAATAGAAGTGCGATCTGGCTTTAGCTTACAGGTTAAAGTCCTAGGGGACACCATATTATAAGTGTGTTTTTGTGTTTGCCACTGACTGAATCACTAACAATTGTTACATAACATTAACCTTGTATCCCTAGGAAACTGCACTGCCGCATATCCCTCTGTGTTTAAGTATAGTAGCTGTTGCAGGTGGCTTCTTTCTGGAGTATCTGTCAGTCAGAGTGAGAGACAAGTTCAACAAGATATTTTGAACGAAACCAAAATCATCTGTTAATGGAATAATTTCAACTCAATAAAAAGGTAACAAAAGTACTCATGATGCATTCCTTTGTTATGTTTGTTCTATGCTTTGGCAGTATCCAAACAGCAGCAAGCATCTCATCAGCCACTTGTATTCCACATGCTACCATGAGTTCCAGATGTACCGGAGGATTGTACAAATCATAAAGTATGGCAGCGATGCTTGCATATTTGTAAATCAGGATTAGAGGCCAATTTTGTGGCAGGTTGATTGAATCGGGCCGCCCGTCTCCCTCTCATCCTAAGCCCCTCGGCGCTTTCAGGAGGGGAGAGATAAAGGGATTTGGGCTCTCTGAGATTTGCAGTGAGACTTCTTATACACCCCCTCCAGCTGCTGAGCAGATTGTTTTCAACCAGGGCCTCGAGGCAAGAACTCACAATGGGCCTCTTAAATTCTTGCTTTCTATACCTCTGACAAGGCTTTTTTTAACTGAGTGTTCCTGTGACGGTGATGTAATATAAGGTTGGTCCCATGAGTCGTCAAACGCGTGACAGATGTGTATTTATCGCTAACGTGCAACCCTTTCCCAAACAGGAATATGTTTTTCTCATTAGTTAATATCAATTTTCTTTACAACATGGTTTGGCATTGGATTGTTATATCGATTCTCCTATTGATTTTATTGTAAAAAGCTACTCGACACTAGCAGGGAAAGGATTTCTCCTTGGAGAATGCAAATGTGTCGACTCCTGTTCCTGGCTTCAATCTGATTTACAGCAATTTTCTAAATAAGTCTGCAAGTTTTAAAATATATTTCAGTGCCAACAACGTCACAAAGGTTTTTACTTACAGATAAAGTTCTTTGTATTTCCACAGTGGGCTGAGTAGTGCTTGATGCAGACATTTCCATTACACATGGTGTACTCTAACATCTGTTCTTATCGATTTTACATTTAAAAAAAAGTTAACATATGGTTAGTGCTAGAATTAGGCTCCAGTTTTAGTTTCAAAATGTTAATCTATCCATTTTATGCAAGTCATGGAGAATCCATCCAAAGAGTTCTAAGTGGGTGGGAAAATATGACTTTAGTCAAATAGTGGAGAATAGCTTGAAATCGAATTGATTCCCAGCCACTCAAATGTTGGCAACATCTGAATTATGATTTTAAGAAAACAAAATAGCAATCAGTTTTCAGTATTGATACTACTCGTAGTCTCTCCATCAACAAGATAAAAAAAACCCTGACTGAGAGTGTTTATTAATAGTGACATGTTACCCATTATCTTCAAGAGAGGAGAAGTGGCAGGGGAAGGCTGGGATTATTAAACTGACTTTAAAGCTTTGTGATTGTGTGTTGTGATAGCAAAGATTTGTCCAAAATAAATGTCCCCCTGACACGGTTCACTGACAGGTCTGTGTGTACATGACCACTGTGGAATTTATATATCGGCTTTCAAAAAGTAAAAAGAGATGTACGCAATTGTTACTATGCAGGCAAGGTAAACAAAGGTTTATTTATGGTCTGTTTTAAGGTACGCCACGACTAACCTGAATGAGGTGAAACTTGTGTTTATTTATTAATGATGTGCTATTATATTTTTGGGAAAAAGAAGAAAAAATAAGGTTAACCTGGCACTATATTTTATATTGAATTATTACAGAAAAACTGAGGTTGCTGTGCCTTGTGATAGAGAGCGAGCTCAATATTTCAGAATACATCACAGAACTGGCTCTCATTTCCTGTGCAAGCTCTCTGTAACAGCTCAGTATGTAAACACAGGTTTCCATGACAACTTTTGCCAAAGTTTACATATCGAAATATAGTATTTTTAAAGAATGGACGAGAGACACTGACCTCGGAGAACCTCTGTACATCCTGAGTGAGCGTCCCCACACGGCTCCAGTTGTAGAAGGTGAGGAACTTCACCACCGCAGGGTTCACGGCGTTGTCTGACGGGACGGTGCGGAAGAAGTTTGGGTACTTTTTCTTATCTGCCAGGACTGGAGTTGTTGCTGCAAAGGAAAGCTGGAATGACAAAAAAGAGAGAGAACTACAGTGAGTTTAGAGTCTGTTAAATACAGTCCTAAATAATCCTGGCAACAAATAGTCAGATTACGCTGGTGTACTGTTAGAAGAGAAGCACTGTCAACAACTGTGTCACAAAGCACTGGATGACAGACCTCAGGTGTGCCATGCATTCAAATTCACAATATTCAAAGATTTTATTGTCACATGCACAAAGCTACAGTGTAGAAATGGCAATGAAATTCTTCTGAACTGAACGCCTCCAACAATGCAACATATATAATAAAATACAAAATAAAAAGTAGAAACAAGTCTATATAAATGTCAATAGAATGTGGGATATGTAAAAGAACAGAATATGAAATTAAATAATGTAAATTAAGACTAAATTAAATAGGGCTTATTGCGGTTATAACTGTGGCTCAGTGGATAGTGTGATGGACTTTAAATCAGGGGATAGCAAGTTCGAGTCCCACTGCAGTCAGCATGTCGTTGTGTCCCTGGGCAAGACACTTTACCCCAAATTGCTCCTGTGGGGATTGTCCACATTGTCCACAGTACTCAATAAGTAAGTCGCTTTGGATAAAAGCGTCTAACAAATGACATGTAATGTATAACTATTTCTATAAATTAGTATATTACAAAATGAAAACAGGAATGTTTATCGGGGCACTTAACAGAGCTCAGGTGTCATTTTAGAGTGTTTGTGAGGAACACACGCTCTTTAGGAGTCTAAGGGTGTGGACAAATCAAATCTTTCAAATGAATTTAAATGTCAGCTAAATACCCGCTTTAGTGTATAACTGGAAATAGATCTCTAAATATTGGGTGGAATGGATGACCCCTTGTATGAGTAGCCTTTTAAGATGTTTTTATTATGTTGCTGTTGTTTGTCCTGGAGTGATAGTTGAGTGAATACCTGTTTTTGTAAGTTTTTTGATGAGGAGCAGCTTAGCAATATGATTCATCTCTATGTTGGTAAGTTACAAGCATTTTAGCGTTCTTCATAGCAAGCATTTTGAACTAGATTACTACACACTACACACACACACACACACACACACACACACACACACACACTACACACTACACACACACACACAATCACACACAATCACACACAATCACACCAATACAGATAACCACACACGCTGAGCCTCAAACGTTAATTGGCTTTTTACACACACCTTTTATTAATGTAGACAAATTAGTGTCTATGGATCGACTGTCTGGGTGAAATATCTGAAGAGTAGTACAAAAATACTCGACGCTGACTGGAAAGTAACTGACACAAGTTTTATAGGGATCCTGGGTCGAACTCAATGTGTGCGTGTCGTCGAAAGTTGATATAACGTAGTCACCTCCCCTCACACAAACGACGTAGCACCAGTCTAGTACATCGCAGCAATCAACCAGACCTATTTATGAAATTTTCAAACGGAACAGTTCGAAACATCTGACAGGAAAAAACTTGTAACTAGCGAGTTCTTATACGATTCCAACGTCGANCGAAGGGCTGGGTCACTCGTATATTTAAGCAATAGCTCACGACAGGCCGTGGTATTGCGTCGGGCCGAACCACGCCCCTTAGCTGTGATATAATGAGCATATACCACGGCCTGTCGTGAGCTATTGCTTAAATATACGAGTGACCCAGCCCTTCGTATGTTTTTCTGTATGTGGCCCTCGGTGAAAAACGTTTGGACACCCCTCATTTAGACTCACACATTTTTTGAAGATGGCCTTTTAACAACATCTTTTTAAAATCCCTTCCTTTCCTGTTAGGCGTGGAGCCTCCCAAGGACCGTACGTTTGTGCGTTTGCAGCGGCGCCACATCAACGTGCCGCTCTACAGCATCCTGTCCACCATCACCATACTGGGCATGCTCATGGCGGGGGCCTTCCTGTTCTTCAACATCAAGAACCGCAACCACAGGTGAGCACTCGCCATTGATGGAGCACGGCTTTGTGAGGAGGAGGAGGAGGAGGATGGAGGGAGGGGTAGGATGAAGGCTAGCTTGTGAGGGTGAAATAGATCAAAGTACAGTCCAGCGATAAGGTAAATGAGGTAAAGAGAAAGAGGAGAGATTTAATGGTAATAAAGTGAAATAATGATGATTAACCTTAAACTGTCTGCAGGCACATTATCATTCTCTCATCCACAGATAAATTATATTTTAATCTATTCTGATATAATCTTCTCTTCCAGACTAATCAAGATGTCCAGTCCCTACATGAACAACCTGATCATCCTCGGAGGAATGCTCTCCTACGCCTCCATCTTCCTGTTTGGCCTGGATGGAGGTTTCGTCTCTGACAAAGAGTTTGAGACCCTCTGCACTGTGAGTTAGCCCAACACTTTACTAAAACATAAAATAAGGAAGTTAGGGTTGACTCTAAGTAATTACAATAGCTGAAATGTGGAGAATCCTATTATAACATGTGACTAACTCAAAGAGATAACTGATTGAATCTCTCTCGCTCTCTATATGGGACACATTAAGTGTCTCCCCCCAGGTAGCATTACTATGTGACTATGTAGATGCTGGATTAATTAAAGAGTTTTGATTACAGTGATAAGCGGTTTCCACTGAGATGCCACTCCCCCCACACACACAGAGAGTAACACAAACATGCACATCAGCGTAATGTTAGGCAGGGCACGTCTCCAGCTGCCACCACCTGGCTGAAGCTTTGCTGCAGAGCCGATACAGAGCGTGTCACTTCAGACGCGCTGCGGAGGACCACAGAGGTTGATCCATTCACCACCAATCAATACGTGCTGGTCTCCCTGAGAATAGATGGTGTAATTGTTTTTTTCTGTCTTCTTTACCCAGAGAATTGTCCCTGCTTATTTATTTAGAGAATGGCAGGTGAAGAGAGCCAGGTGTAAATGTGTGAAGGGTTTAAAGTATGTGTGGTGCAGAAGGGGCTCACACACATACACATAAAAACAAACAGGGACACATGCAGCAGTCAAACACACCCAGTATACATGCTGTAGCTATTTCAGCAGTTCAAATACTTTTTTCCAATTCTAAGCTTTGAAAACACGTCAGCAGTGTCCCTTGTGCTAAAGCAGTAAAAGGTCTACTTTTTGTTTCTCATTAAGATGAAATGCTCTCAGGAGTGGGACAGTTGGTCCAGGACGCTCTCCCACAGCTCCACACCGGGAAAATAAAAATAAATCTGACAGCTACTTATTTTTAGAACACTTTACAATGCTATTTTGAATTCACTTCTTCAGAGAAATGCAAATACCTGTCAGATGAGATTTTGTTTTAAGCCTTGATCAACACTTTAAGACATCCCATGATTATGTGTGTTTCTGCTGTTCTTATAGGTGCGCACATGGATCCTCATCGTCGGATACACGACAGCTTTTGGCGCCATGTTTGCCAAGACGTGGAGGGTGCACGCCATTTTCAAGAATGTGAAGATGAAGAAGAAGGTATTGAATTATATATAATATTATATAATGAACTCAGAGAAATGTTATTTATAGCAGTAACGCAGCACCTACACGGCGGCGTGCGTTGAAGCTTGCCGGTGGGCGTGTCTGAAACTCGACCAACAACCAATCACATGAATCTCCCGCCCCGGACACACAAGCACCCGGTTTGATTGGCTAGAGCTTGTACTGGCATATGATTTAATTGGCTGACGCCTCCGTCGAAGCTTCAAAAGTTGAACTTTTCTCAACTTTTGAAGCGAGCAACGCGAAGCGACGGAACCACAATGCAGTTCGGCAAAGCGTGACGTCACCCCATTCAAAGTACGGGCCGTAAGATTTGATTATATTAAATTTGACTGTTTAGATTACACGACATAAATATTATACTTTCATGAGAAATGGGCTACTCCCCAAACAAGCTGTCTACGTTTAATGCTACTACTGGTACATACATGCTAATACTGATGAAATCTGTTTCTGAACCGTTTATACTTCAATTATTCATCTGTTGGAAAGGATAATTACTTGGTCATATAACACGTAGACATGTCTCATCTAGGAAGCTTCACATGCCTTATGGAAGCCCAACACTGGTGTGTGGGTGCTTCTACTCACACTTGTGCTTTTAACAAACGCTGTGAAAGACTGGCAGCCGCTGGCACCTGCTTTTAGAATCTTCCCTGTGAAAAAAAAATTGATTCAGAAATACAAATGGCTTTTTAAACATCTGACAGAATCTGTTTCACTGGCCTATATATAAACGGGTGTCGAGCTTACTGATTGTTGTAACAGTGCTTGGCCTTTTTATATTTATAGATCTAGCTCTCCCTGTCTATTCATCTCTCTTCCTCTCTCTCTCTCTCTAACCCTCTTGCATGTTGGAGGAAGTGTGGGTGGCCTGCCAGAGAGAGAGAGAGAGAGAGAGAGAGAGAGCAGGAAGAGAGGGAGGAAAGAGGGGTGGAGGGATGCGGGGAAGTAATGGCAGAAGGGAGGGTGGGGAGACAGACGGAGGGAGGCAAAGCAGGGCAGAACAAGGGACAAGACAAACAATGTGGCACAAATGGCAAAGAAAGTAGGTTGAACACTATAAAAAGTAAAAAGAGTAAGTTGGAAAAGAGGGCAAAGGATATATGGAGGTACAAATAATCCAGATGACAGGTTAAAAGACAAAGAGTAAAGACGAATCAGCAATCTGGGGGACCCAAGATCATACATTTTTTTCAAATAAAAAAAATGACACATTAGACCTGGCCTTTATAACAGTTATGCTTCTCCCAGCAGTAGCGTAGTCCTTATCCTTCATTTACACAATTACCTTTGCTCAGTTCCCTTTCCCCCCTTGCTAACAGAGACAAAACCAATGTTTCTTCAGAAGCAGTATTTACCCTACTGCACACTTCAGCCTTTAAACCTCAAGATGCATTCTCTGTTGGTTCATGGCCCGGGTCTGTTTGCAGGACACACACGCATCACACTTCCTCCACACTGATGGAGTGCAGGTGCTTTGGCTTCAGTACAGTGATAGTTGCTGTCAGGGGAGGGGGAAGGAGCACAAGTGTTAGCCATATTTTTCTTCCAACATAGGGGCTGCAACTGCATCCCTCACTGCTTCCCCTGGCCTTCCCTCCACCTTTTCCCCATGCACTAGGAGAGCTCAGATTGTAAATCAGGGCTGTGTTCGATAAGGGTTCCACTCGGCGGTCTGCGGCCGGCAATCCTTCACTTCTTAAAGAGCTCAGTGACGAAGACAGTGTTGATCGGGGGGGGCTGTCAATCAATGTCCTCCCTCTACGAATACAAACCCACCACAGACACAGTCGAACGTACGCACTTTCAAAACCGAACCGTTACCCTCAGGCCTCTGCAGAAGCTATTTGTCAGTCTGCCTATCTCTGTCGTTTGCTGAGTACTCCTTAGTGACATATTGCTGAGTTCACACACAGAAACAGGCATAGGTCAAAGCTAAACAAACACACCAATTAGCTTTTTTATTTTGTTGCTCAACTACTATAACTTACAGGATAATATACATGAAGTTAAGACTGAACGTGGATTCATGACCCTGAAAATTGTACCCATAACTTAAGGTATACTATCAGAGCTTTGAACCCCACCTCATGGAGATTGGATGGATCTTGCTTAGTGGCAGGAATAGAAACACTCATGTCAATGTTTTATTTCTCAGTCCTGTCAGGGTCATGTGCACATTTAACGTTTTTTTCACTCATTTGGTATTTTATGGATCAAAGTCATCAGTAGACATGAAACTGTTCAAACCCAACTGGTATGATGAGTGCTAATATCCCATAGGAAAATAAAACAGTTCATAAGACTATATATAATTTAGAGTCATTAGGTAGTTTGTCTAGCACACTCAGTTGGCAGCGTTTCATTTCAGAGTCGAGCAGATGGTGTTCTAAAGCTTTTGTATTTGTTTTTAATCCCTTAAATATCACACATCTTGCATGTCTTTGTTACAACTATTTACTTGTTATTATTATTTTATTATTATATTATTAGTATTTTCAGCCAGACTTGACCAGAAGTATTTCAAAATAAACAGGATTTTTTTTATTGGTGTCCATCTTAGTGTAGAATATTTTTGTCATTGGCCTGAAGCAGCCATTTGTCCTGCTCCGCTTCTATCCTCATCTAAACTATTTGGAAACATTGCAGCATTTCTACCAGGAATGTCTCTCGCCTTGCCCTGCCAGTGTTTGTCAACACCATCAAAAGACACCACATCAAAAACAGCCCCCCTATGCATCTCATCCTGAGCCCACCAGCGGATGGAGTCCTGAGTGAGACCACTGTGTTGCATCTGGGCTATGTGATACTCTCCAAACAGCTCAGCCTGTGTTCCCTGACCTTTGCTTTCATCTTCCGTTCCAGACAGTCAAACACTATTATAAATAAAGATCACAAACAGGTCATGGCTTTCATCCCTCCAAAGTTCACGGTACAAAAGAGGAGCTTTAGTGGTAAACAGCGTTGGCTTTCTGCCATCGTTTTTTGACACGTTGAATGTTTACCAGGGGTTCTTAATCCTTGGCCAACATGTAACACTGTGTTTAAGAGCTTCATCATCAAATGCTGAACCAGGTTTTGGTCTTTTGGACATTCAGTTTGGCTGGTCCTTCCCATCCTTGTAGGTGGTTAATTGCAGATAAACACATTGTAATCAGTCCCTGATTAGATGTTAGGATGAAACCAGCAGGGCGCTGGGCCCTGAGATGGGATGAGAATCACATAATTACACTGGTCAATAAGAAATGTAGTTTGAAATGGCTCAACAAACACATGCAATTACTAACACAAGCAGGTGTTTGTTGTTGGGCTAATGCAAGCATCTTATCTCCCCCCCCTCCCCTCCAGATCATAAAGGACCAGAAGTTGTTGATCATCGTTGGCGGGATGCTGCTCATCGACTTATGCATCCTCATTTGCTGGCAGATTGTGGACCCGCTTAAGAGGACTGTGGAGGAATACAGCTTGGAGGTCAGTGTGCATTTGTTTTTCACATCTCATTTAAACTTGCGCTTGATTGCGGTTTTGTTTATGTTGATACATGATTTTCCCCAGCTGGGAGATGCTTGCGTGTTTGGAGTTTAGGCAAACAAAATGTCCGCCTTGGGCTGTATCGCGAGCATCTTTGTTGTGCTTGCTATTTTTGGGTCAGGATGTGAGCCATCGCTGCCTCCTGCGCTCGTCCCATGGCCGGACATTTGCCAGCTTGGATGGCAGACTTTGGCAGGACCGGTTGGAAAAGAGGCACTTGGCATCACTTTCTCCTTGCTGGAGAGGTGGCATGGTGCGGAGTAGAAATGAACTCTGCTTTCCTGTGATTGGTTAGAGTAGATTATTTGAGGATTACTCTAGCTGTGCACCCAATTGGCTAAAATGAACATACTGTATTTCTGGCATTAGTGGCTGATGATGTGTGAAACGTGTTTTAGGCATGACATATTAGCATATGACCGCCAGTGGTATTAAGGGAATGCAGAGTTTGAATTAGAAAGGCACAACTGCATATGTATTTTTCTCAAAGGATTCATCACTTTAAGTAAAGTGGCAGATTTTTTTGTTATTATTTATAATCATATGTCTTTGATTTTAAATACTATGCAGTATTGCTTCACTGTTTCACTCAACGCTGTCTTTCTGTACAGCTTAAAACTAAGACACAGGGCTAAATGCTTGAGTCAGGAAGATTTTGAGCTGCATAAACAGCTATGAACGTGGTCTTTTTTGTCTTGTTTTTAAGAATCTCTGCTCATGCCGTTAAACAGATGGTTCAGTGTTCCACTGGTTAAGCATAAGAGGCTGAGGAACACATTTCTTACCCAATCTATACAATTACACAAAAAGATGTGCTCGCATTAGGTTGTAATGGTAAAATGGCTTATACAGTAGAGCTGTATAAGGGATACTGTACAATTGGTATTTCAATGTATCCGTGTGTGACACTGAGCTGTATCTGAATATGTTGAAACAAAAAAATTCAAGAGACGACAATAATGTGTTATCTAATTTCATGTTAAGGCTTCGGGTAGGTTTTGCTTTCAAACCTATATATTATATATTCAATTTTTCCCATTATGGGCTAACAAACATTTCAATGTTACAGGAGAGATTATGTTTACTTTACTGTAGCTTCTAACAACGGACAAGCAGGAGCAATTATTCCACTGCAGCCGAGATTAAATCGTGTGTCTTTGAAGACCTCACACTATGGATACTACCAAGTGGAGACATTTTCCCCAATGAGTTATCTTTTAAGTCCCCTATACATCTTTCTATAAACTCTTAACTGGCTCCCAGAGACAACTGTCCTCAGAAATCGACTGCATTGGTCTAATTCCACTGAGCCAGAGGTTACGAAAGTGTCACTGCAGTGAATGGCAGAGTCTGATGTTGGATTCTTATGGAGACTTCTTTTGATTGCGTTGAATGGTTTTTCATGTTGTTGCTTGGATGTTGCCATGGTCCTGCGGGGGATGGAAAGGTGGCTAAACCTGTCTCTTGAGTTTGACGTGTTTTTAATTAAATGAGTACCCCATGAAGTGACAAATAGTGCTCATCTAAGAGTTCTGTGAGTAGTTCAGCTTTTCTGAGGTTATTTTTTTCTCTTAGTACTTGATGAAAAGATTCCTTTGGGAGATGTCTGAGGAAGAAACTAGTGAAGAGATTAATGATATCTTGCCAGACTTATTTACATTCTCGTGCTCCTTATGGCGTGTTCTGAAGGTATACTTAGCACATTTGTACATCTCTAGACAAAGCCGTATTTCCTTTGTGATGATAGCCACTTATATATTTAAGCCTGCCTAAAGGGTGTAGCAAAGCCTTGCTTAACATATTCGTTTGTGAATGTTGTCAGTGTATGCAGTCAGGTCCTCGTGGAGTATTCTCAGACTCTAAGCCCCCGGCCAGGGGAGAGTTGTGAATATATTACCCACTCAGTGTAGGAGTCTGCGTCCCCCAGGGGTCGAGGATCTGCACGCCTGGGCTGAGGCTCCACATGCCTGCCCAGCCTGCCAGATTTCCTGCACCAGCAGCAGTGGACCCTGGGGCCTCGGCTGTAGGAGAGGCAGCCTGGGGCTCCTCTGGGGCTCCAGGCTTGTCAGGTGGGACCACAAACCATATGGCATCCTAAAAACACGGAAAGTGGGTTAGGCTGAGAAAAGGGAAATAAAAAATGTAGAACTAATTTTGGTTATAAACAACATAAGGCAATTTATGGATAAAAACACTTTTTGTAAAGTGAGGCCACTTTTTGGACATTATCGCTGTATTAAATAACAAAACCTCATGCATTTCAATGAGGCTGCTGCTGAGGTACAGCAAGGGCGACAAACTGGATCATATTTCATTTTCTATCCGCTAGCAACATGCCCACATCAACACACCCCTTGTGTTTTAACACTATCTGTGCTATTTCCATTCTGAAATCTCACTAGGAATGGGGATTGGTTGAGTGGGTGAGGAATGGGGCCATGTTGGATGCTCTCCATAGAGCCCAGCAGCTAGGGAGACTAGCTCTGTAATTGGCGCGAGGAGAAGGACCATTAGTTACCAAGTTTCCTGTGAGCTCTCACATCATGCTCGGCCTCTCTTCCCCTGTGACTTCCCTGTCTGGGTTTTTTTTCTCCTTCTCTTTCTGTCTGTCTGTGATTGTCGAAATCTCGCCCCCTCCCCGTCCTTTTCCCACTGTGGAGCACTGGGAATAACATTGGCCTTGGGGTCAAAGCGCTGTAACTACCTGCTGTACCCAAGGGTACGCAGTATGACAACGTGGTATTATTAAACTGTCACTGTCACAGTGCTTGCTAGTCCTCCAGATGTGTTGTTTGAACCCTCCCACAAGAGGGTTTCGCTATTATGGACCACGACCAACTAGGGTACTCACACTAGGGTACAGTCTATTCCCTGTGGTGCTGTCGGATACCTCCAAATATTGTAAGTAGGTAAATGGATATAGTTGAGATTGAGTGTTAAAGTATCTTGCTCATGCTGTATTGCCGATAATTACCCAGCAGAAACCATGGACAAAGTAGATACTCTGCATCACCGGGGGTGAACCCACCGCTCTGAATCCAGCAAGCTACGCTTAATGAGCTACCATTAGCAAAACTAGGGCATCCCCTTTGCATCCTTTATTAGCATTAACAAGAAGATGAAACTGTGAAGAGGCTGACAATAGATCCTTGTGGAATTCTTTATAAAACATGACTGGTTTAATGCCCTCCCAAATAAAAGTAAAGAAAGGCCAGAGATCATGTAGGGAGTTAAGTCTTTGAGACTCTTAAATGAGAATGGTGTGACCCCAGAGAATCATTTTAATTACACCATGCAGATGATACGCCTTCACCAGAAATGACTTGTGACCTTGACACTGTCCCAGACCTCTTTAAACTAAGCCCGGCCTCTGATCTGCACTTCAATATGCACTGTACATAAGACACAACCTTATACGCTGAATTCAATAAAAATGCTGATAAGATTAAAGTCAACTTGGCCACCATTCTAATTGCAATTCCATTTTCTCCCCCTGATACTTTACACTGTTCCGACCATAAATCCCAGCAGTTCGGGAAATGTTGTGCATATCACTGTATTTTTTCCCAGAGAGCTTTCTTAGAACAGCAATAACTCCAACTGCTCCGGGGTACGTTGCAGGAATGCTGATGGAAACGTTGGGATGCAGTGAGCAATTAGATCCATTTTGTGTCTCGTTAATAATTGAGCATTTGTTAAGGGCGTGGATGTTTCAGCAGCAGGGTATAGACTGCTGGTTTCCATTAGATTAAGCATTGCAGTACTGACACATGTTGCAGTGTCAATGTATATAAATGTGTTGAGGCATGAAAGTGTGCATGTATGGTTTATTTCTTGGTCTATTCATCCATTTGACCTTGTTGGTATATTCCAGCCTGTATATACATATGGAGGGTATGTGCCCACTCATGCATGGATACGCTTACGTACGTTTGCCTGTGTGTTTACGTACACATTAACGCCCTTTTTGTTATCCGGGGCATTGTCTCCTGCATAATGAAGGACAAACTGTCGAGAAAGGATGATTAGCATTCTGGTGGATCCTGCCGCAGACCCCTCTACTCTAGTCTGTCCCCCCCCCCCCCTTCCACTGTCGTCTTTCCCAGCTCCGCTGCTGCAAGCATCGGCAGGCGGGCAGGCTTATATTGCAGTGTGGCATCACCATGGCAACGGCCATGGTTTCTGACATCCACAACGCAGAGAGCTGCACTGTTGATCCATGAGACTAAAATAGCGTGTCAGGGCACCCGCTATAAGATGGCGACATATGCAGAGAATGTTTTAAACATCTGTATAGACAAACATGCGCTGGGCTCGACAATACGCTGAAATGTACACACATAGATGCGTTATTATTTCCATGCAGAGGTTAAGGAGCTCCAGCAGAGGTTTCCCTCTGCTCCCCTGCCTCAGCTGTCCCCACCTGAACGCAGTAAGGCAAGGAGAGAGAGAAAGAGAAAGAGAGGGAGGGAGAAGGGGAGTTTTATAAAAGTGCTTCAGCATTTGTTCCCAGTATCGTATTGCTGCAGTAGCAACCCAATGCATGATGTCCGTCTTTTTGAGCTGATGGTGAAAGGTTGGCTTTAGAAGCCATAGTTTAACTGAGGGATGAAATCCCATCTTAAATGGCAATGCTAAGATCGGTTTTCTCACATTTAATCCCCTCTCTTTTATTTACTGTGTTTTCTTTTGCTTATTTGCTTACTGTGCCTCTCTCTTTCTTTGCTCTGCCCCCATTGCCATCTTTTCATTTCATTTCCGCTGTCCCTCTGTGTGACGTTCCTCCATCGCCGGCTCCTATCTCGCTCTATCCCTCTCCTGCTTCTCCTCATTTGGCCAGCTCATACCACAAGGGAGAGCCCTGAAAAAGCTGAGAAAAATCTAAAGCAAGGTTGTGACAGCAGTGCCGGTCAAGATTTAGGCTGACCTGAAACTTTTTCTTTCCATTTTATTCCTTCTCTTTCTCACTTTATGCTAACCTGGTGTTTATTTTCTTCACACTAACCTGTTTTCTCTTAATTCGACATCTCTGGCTCTTATCAATTTTCCGTTTTTAATGGCACCCCTTTAAAGGGACGGATAGAAACCTAGTCGTGTCTTCAGTTCAGCCAAGGTCGGGAGCTCGTAGGGTAAGTTAGGGGTAATGGCAAGTGCGGCCAAAGGGGCTGAGACCTGTGCCAGAAAAGTTCCTCTAGCAGGACAGATGACGAGTGTGTCTGACAGCGAGTGTCCTCCACTGGGGCTCTATGTGGGTCGAGTTCAGCAGGCAGTATGCATGTACAGAGGTCAGAGATGATACCAAATAACTTTTACCAACTGTTTTTGTATGTTATTGCATGTTTACAGCAACATGTACAGATGTAGCACTGAATTTCGGACTCCAGCTTACAGCTTCCTGCCTACGACCTGCCTAAGACCAGTATAGAGGAATGTTAAGCCCTCCCACTGTTTACCAAGAGGGCGTTGCCAGATTTTCAATTTCAGGTTTTAACCAGGAGATGGCGCTTCATTCACAAATACAGAAAGACAAGTTTCATGGACTTTCAGTTGTGTTTTGAAGAGCATTTGAACAAATCAATATTTTAGATCAACTAAAGTATATCTAATCTTGTAATTCAAGAATTTGATTTTACAAGTTAGTTATTTCATTGTAAGAATAGAATAGAATTATTATAGAAGTATGAATTATTATTATTAATTTAGTATGTCAATACACAGGCTTCCCTCGTCCTCCTTCGTTTTGTTGTCTTTTGATATGACGTAATAATTTTCGTTTTGCTAACATTTCCGAATTTCCATACTCGGATACTCGTATCGTGTTAATTTTCTTCCACTTACCCATTTGGTAAATGGTAATTATTAATACTAATAAATTATATATTTCT